AGATGACACCAGTGCAGTGTGCCCAGGAGCGCCTGGTGGACACAGGGCGAGAAGCAGGATTGGGAGGCCACGGTGACTTTCACAGAAGCTTCAGGAGCATCTGGAGTTGAGACTGCCAGACTTGTGAAGGTAACACCGAAGACAGGAGCCATGGTGATGGTGCATGCCTGTAATCTCAGCACTTGGGAGACAGAGGCAGACGGATCTCTGTGAGTTCCGGATCAGCCTGGTCTATTGAGCGAGTTCCAGGACAACCAAGGCTACACAGAGAAACCTTGTCTTGAGAAACCAAACCAAACCAAAACATAGTTGAAGACAAGGAGTGGGTCTCGATCACCAGTCTGTACTTAAAGGTATGTGTCAGCATGCCCTGCTAAATATTGCTTTTTTTTTTTTTTAAAAAATACATTTGCTGGGTATGGTGGTACACACTTATTTGTCTGCTTTTTGGTTTTTTGAGACAGGGATTCTTTGTATAGCCCTGGCTCTCCTGGAACTCGCTTTGTAGACCAGGCTGGCCTCAAACTCACAGAGATCTGTCTGCCTCTGCCTCCGGAGTGCTGGGATTAAAGGTGTGCGCCACCACTACTTGACTGGTGGTACACACTGTTAGTCCCAGCGTTCCGGAGGCAGAGGCAGGTGGATTTCTATGATTTCAAGGCCAGCCTGGTCTACATTGAGAGGTCCGGGACAGCCAGGGCTACATAGTAAAACCTAGTCACAAAACAAACAAGCAAACGAAAAACACAGGCAAAATGTGTTATCAGTCCTGGAAGATTTTGACTTTCTTTTTTAACTTTTTATTATTGATTGATTGTGTGTGTGTGTGTGTGCGCGCGCGCGCATGTGTCCCGGTACATGTGTGGTCATAGGAAAACTTTGGAGTCAGTTTTTTCCTTCCACCTTTATGTAGGTCCCAAGGATGGGATTCAGGTTACCAGGCCTGCGTGGCAAAGCCGTTACCAGATGAGCCATCTCACAGGCCCGCGTATCTATTTTTTCTTAGTAACAAATTTAAATGGATTAAGTTTCTAATTTGTTAAAATCCTATCATGAAAGGTACTTAGAAAAGAAGTTGTCAAAACCATCCACCCCCCTCTGACGTCTCTGTATCTGTCTTTCACTTTGGGTGAGATTTTTGGCCGACTCTGCACAGACATGTTAAGCCCTCCAGGACTATCTACTGATTTAGCTCATCTCCTTAATCCGGAGGCACGGAGATAACCGGAGGTTCCAAACCTGCCGTTATCTTGGGTACTGCCAGCCTCGCTGGATCATTCCTAACTGAGGGCAGCCGTCCATGAGGGTGAGGCTGTACCCCGGCCCATGAGTCATCATCTCCTGAGAACTGGCCTGTCCCCTCAGGCAATAGGGATTTCTTTGGATCAACTTGAAGAATCAGAGTTGAGACAACGACCAACTAGATCACACACCTTGAATTAGACTGCAGGGGTTGAATTCAGGTCGACAGGCTTGGTGACAAGTACCTTTACCTGCTAAGTTATTTTACCAGCTCTCTTTTTCCTTCCTCCCCTCTAACCCCGACCTTTCATTCTTTCTAGTCAGGGTTTCTGTTATGGCTAGTTTTATGTTAACTTGACACAAGGTAGAGTCATCTGAAAGAAAGGAACCTCAGTTGAGAAAATGCCTCCATAAGAGGCAGTTGTAGGCAAGCCTGTAAGACATTTTCTTAATGAGTGATTGATGGGCGAAGATCCAGCCCATTGTAGGTGGTGCCACCGCTGGGCTGGTGGTCCTGAGTTCTATAAGAAAGCAGGCTGAGCAAGCCATGAGGAGCAAGTCAGTAAGCAGCACCCCTCCATGGCCTCTGCATCAGCTCCTGCTTCCGGGTTCCTGCCCTGTTGTTTGAGTTCCTGTCCTCACTTCCTTCAATGATGAACAGTAATGAGGAAGTGTAAGCCAAATAAACCCTTTCCTCCCCAAGTTGCTCTGCCCGTGGTGTTTCATCACACAATAGTAACCATAACTAAGACAGTTTCATGCATGCAGCCTGGGATAGCCTCAAGCTCTTTATATAGCCAAAGATAGATCTTGAACTTCTGATCTTGCTTCTACGCCTGAAGTGCTGTGATTATAGTTGTGTGCCTCCACGTTGGTGCTGGGGGTCAAACTCAGAGACCAACGCAGCAGGCTAAGCATACATTGTATCTGAGCTACATTGTTCAGCGAGCCACAGCCCTGTTGTTGCTTTGTTTTGTTTTGAAACAAGGTTTCATTTTGTAGCCCAGGCTGGCCTTGAACTTGAGACTTTCTTGCCTCTGCCTCCCTAGTGCTGGCATTACAAGTTGTGTGCCCACATCTGTAAGGAATGACTCTCTCTTGCCTTGTAACCTTGCCTGGGGAAGAGACATTGGCGATGTCCTATACACCAGATGCTCCTGTTCTAGATACAAGCTCCAGGTGACCACTGATGTGTTCCAGAATGCTAAGTCACTTAGCATGAGTGGGTTTGAACATCCTAGACAAGACAAGTGGTTTTCTGAGGTCCAGGTCTCTGACCTCCCTGACCTGGGCTGGTCTGATTAGGCTCTCTGAGGATGAAGAACAAAAGCATCCCCACGATTCTATCCCTGCATTCTTCACGGCCAAGTTGGAGGCAGGTCCTGGACTCAAGTGCACACTAACGATTGCTTTGGAAGTTTCCTCTCACAGATGTCAGCCCCCACTTCCCAGACCTGTCTCGTGGACGCTGAGTCATGGGTCAGTGATGAAGGTGGGCATGTTGTGGGGCCAGCCAAGCCTATCGATCGAGGGCTGGCACATCCTCCCCACTAATCAACAGTTAATTAAGTCTTTGGTGAGGAGGTGGTGATTAATGAATTGTCAGTTTGTCCTGTAATTGGGATGTGGAATGGGAGGGAGTACCAAAGATCCACAGAGGGGATTTTGTGAGTGGGGGAGGCTGGCTCCTGGTCCACACCGAGGGACCCCTTCGGGTTCGGCTTGCTTTCATATACCAAACCTGGGCCTTCCCTTATACTTCCCCTTCTCCTCTTTGCCATCTTTCCTTGAACCTTGTCTTCCCTAAGGCTGTTGGGGGGACAGTGTCCAGACTTGATGAATCCTCTGTGTTCTTCTCACAGACTCCTTTATCTCTGTCTGGGGTCAGTGCCCTCGCCACCATAGGCAGTTCAGGGGCCAACGAACAAATGTCCATCACCATATCCTTGTCTCTTTCAGCCTGTAGCATCCTTGTCTGTCGAGGCTTTTATCTCTATGATCAGAACTGTCCTAACCAGGGCCCAGGTTGCCCCGTCCTCTGTATTTTTGTCCCATGGCCTTTGGTTTTCCCTCAAGGAGTAGCGTTCTCTCACTTCTGTCATTTCCTTCCCCAACAGGACACACTGGCTGGTCTCTCTCTGTATCTGTTTTAAGACAGTGGGGGTCCCCAAGGAGATGGCTATAACTCTTCTCTGAGATGAAGGCTCCTGTAGGACCCTTAGATACAGGCTCCCTAAGAACCACCTCCCTCCTTTCTCCAAGGCTGGGGGACATGTCCTCTTCCACCACTGCGCTCAGCAAGATGTCCTGGTGTTTCTTCTGTTGCATGGGGCCCACAGGACCTGGGCTGGTTGATAAGGATCTGTTTCCGGAGAGTGCAGGTGACTGAACCCATAAAAAGGTGATTGAAGGAGCCCGGGATGCTCCATCTCAGGTGAGTTCTAAAAATAGCATTCATTGCCATCTGTCCTGATAGTGGAAGGACTGGCCCAGAACTCAGGGTCTGGGTAAAATGGCTCTTCCTGTTTCCCTGGGTTGGAGGTAGTGGAGGCTCTGGCAGGGCTGCGAGAAGGAACTGGAAAGACTTTACAGAACACTTCCCCATGGTCCTCTTCTTGATGAAGGAGGTGGGTCAGATGGGGTCTGGGCTCTTTTTCTACTCAACCACTCGGTGGTCCAAAGCTTAGCATATGCCAATCCCTGCTTCCGTATGTTGCTCCTGAGCTTCGAGGTGCGGAGACTACCCACTGTCAGCGCCGAGAAAGCTGTTCTCTGGGTCTGTCCACTCTCTTCCTCTGTTTGAGCCACGGGTGACCCTTCAGGGGTTCAGCTTTCTCTCCTGTAGCATGGGGACACTCTGAATAGTATGCAGGAATTGATGTGTTACGCAGTGCAAACTAAATGCTTAGTCACCATGGCTGGTTGCCCCTCTTCTGTGGATGCAGGCCACCGTCCCTCATCAGCCCCAGAGTCCAGTGATGACTGTAATGGGGTTAAACAGTGGCATGTACCTTGTCACCTTGGCATCACTCGGCCATAGAGGACATCTGTATCCTGAAGGTCTCCTGGTTGGGGATGGGATTCTGCCTTGAGACGACATTCTATGCTAGGTGTGCATAGCTGGTCCTGGGTCTGTCTGGTCTAGGCTGGAATACACATGTAGCTGATGCCGCTGCTTCTTTTCGGCTCCTCATCTCTCTTTCAATGGAGAAAGGACACAACGGAATGTCTGTGCAGTGAGACCTCATCCCCAGGACATCATAATCAGGTCAGGAGGCAAGGTCACATGCTGCCACTCCTGCCTTCAGCAGAAAATGACCTCCCCTACATGTCCTGTCAGTCCTGGGCTGTTGTCAAACAGAAGCACTCAGGGTTGGTTCCTGAAGGGGCTGACATGGGTCCCACAGGCTGAGGGAACTGTATTCCCCTATCTCCATCTCCTTCTAAGAAAAGGCTAAGGAAGATGAACTCTCATTCCTGATTTCGCCCAATTTTCACTTCCTGGTGGCGGCTATGGGGTGAACACCAGATTCAGGCAAGGCACCCCTCCAGAAGGACCCCCCAAGTCGGAGGACTGGGCTGCCCCCTCAGTTCCTGCGATGTGGAGAGACATCACGTCCTGGCTGGGTGTAAAGTCAGCGATTGGCAGGGGTGGAGGGAGGAGACAAGTCCTCCCCTGGTGGATCCCCTCCCCGGGAGTCCCCCCTCCCTTTCCAAGTGGGATATAAGCCCCGCAGGGAAGCTCTGAGCAGAGGCCAGAGGCCGCAGCGTTGTGTAGCTGTCTAGCTCTCCAGCCTCCCCTGCTTTCCACCTCTTCTTGCTCATCCCGCTTTAGGAGCTGTCGCTGTGAGTGGCCAGGGCCCTGGAATGGTCTGGTATCGTGTTATTTTGTAGGGAAACCGAGGTCGGGTCAGTGGAAGCTATATGGGTACGGTCTAGCTGCGGAGAAGTAGAGAAGCTGGGGAACCCGGGTGTCAGCATTGCTTTCTTCCCTTATCTACCTCTTTGGGTACTAGCGGGAGTTGGGAGGCAGGCAGGGCTTATGGTAGTCTGATAGATGGGGAAACTGAGGTCAGAGATGCTGCAGTGCGGGAGAAGATGAGGCGAGTCTGGTGACTGAGACAAATAGGTCTTTGAGACGTGGACCCGACGGCAGGCAGCTGCAGCCTCCCTTGTGGAAGGGCCGAGGCTCAGGATGGCCCACCCGCCAATGCTCCCTTCCTAGATGGTGGCGGTGCTTAGGCCTTGGTCCGTCATGGTCACAGTGCTGCTAGTCCTGCTCGCCTGCCTGGGAGCGCTGGTGGACGCCTATCCCATCAAACCCGAGGCTCCGGGGGAAGACGCCTCCCCGGAGGAGCTGAGCCGTTACTATGCCTCCCTGCGCCACTACCTCAACCTGGTCACCCGACAGCGGTGAGCTCTGGAGAGGGCGGGGAGGGAGGGAAGGACCCCCGCTTCCCGGGTTGCACCCTCCTCTCACCCTCCTCCCAGCTCCACCAGGAGGTGTGACCACGCCCCTTTGTGGTCCCGCCCCCAGGTATGGGAAAAGAGAAGTCCCGGAAGCTCTATTCTCCAAACTGCTCTTCACCGACGATGGCGAGAACCTCCCCGTCCGGTCTCGGTAAAAAAAAAAACACCGCTCCTCCACAACTCTTGGAGAGTGCCCTGGCTCCACCACTCACACCTCCCATTCAATTCACTTCTTTTCCCTCCTGCAGGTCAGAAGGTGCCTACCAATGGTGAAAACCCCAAGTCCTCCTTCGTGATGTGCTAACTATACCGACTTCATTTGCATATTTGGTTCAAAGAGGGGACTCCATATCTTGGTGTCCCGGGTGCCCAGGCTTGAAGGCTGTGTTCATTGCCCTGTCCCTAAATAAAAAGCAAATATCACATAAAATATGCGTGTGTGTTTATATTTCTGTCCCTTTCGCTTTTGCGGAGGTGGCGGCTCAAGCTGCAGGAAACACTGGTGGCTAAGAAAAAAGATGACGGGCTGGAAGAGTTCAGCATAGACACCTCCTTCTAGTCCGGGGTTCCCAAAGGACCTGGGAAAGCACTCTGGGGGAAGGGAACCTGGGAGGGTGGGCCAGAACAGATCAGATAGGAGAGAGGCGGTTGAGGGCCGGCCAGAGAGTGGCAGGGAGAAGGCCAGACGTCACTCTCAGGGAATTCCCCTGAGCAGCCCTGTGTTAGTCCCAAGGCCATGGAGGACAGGAGGACAGGGACTAGGATGAGGCCCTGGAGGAAGAGACCCAAAGAGGTAGTTGAGTGAGGAGGTAGATAAGTCACTTCCTCGGTCCTTGAACAGGGGGAGCAACTGGACTCTGGAGGTCTCCTTTCTCTCAGCAACAGCTGGAATTCCCCATATTGTCGAACGCAGGTTCGATCTCTATCACTAACTGCTTTTCTGGTGAAAAGGCCACGGGACTACCCCAATTCTTCTCTTTCCCCATCATTAAACACTGGGGTCTAAAGTGTTGTGGGTATTTAAACTGTAGTCTAACCTGAGCCCTAGATATCTCGTATCCCATTAATTGGCCCATTAATTAGACCCTTTTGCTTTCTCTGGAAGCCAGCTCTCTCTCTCTCTCTCTCTCTCTCTCTCTCTCTCTCCTGCTCACTATAAAACGTGTCCTTCTCTCCATGTCCAGTCTTCCTAGGTCTTGGGGGGTGGGATGGGTAGTGGTCCTGGTGGCATATGTACCCTATCCTGGGGAGGGGACTGGGGAGCGAGGGGGAGGGGACATATGGAAGCCAAGGCTACAGATCCAGAGAAAAGGTGTCAGTCAGGAAGGCTGAGCGGTACCACTGTGTGGATGGGGAGGCACGCAGGACTCATTACAGCCTGGTGGCCCTGGAAGGAGAGTGACCTCTGCTATAAAACACTTCCTGCATAGGGGATGATGGGGGTCCCACACCCATATTCTGGGGCTGCCCTTCAGCCTCACACAGCCCAAAGGGAGAGGAGGAAGAAGCAGCCCCGGGGTTCAACGTGTTGTAGACTGCATGGATTCTGGTCTCGGCAGGCCGTGCTCACACTGCCTTTTCTTCCTCTCCACCTGGAAAGCCCCTCTGGCATCATGGTTACCTCCGAGAGCCATTCCTGACTCCCCTTGCTGGAATTAGTCCCTCTGCATCTCTCCCTCCAGTATAGCCATTACCTGAGACCCCTTCTTCTACCCAGTGTGCTCCCCGTGTCCCTCCACTGCTCCAGGCTTGCAGTGACTAGCTGTGTGTCTGGATGCTGGTGTCTGTGGTTCCCATCTGCTGGTCTGCCCGGGGAAGCTGGGATCAGTTTGCAGCCAACAGAGGAGAGACCTGGCATGAGTCATATGCACGGCCACAGACAGTCTGTGTAAAGGTGGCGCGTCCAGGCGACCGTCAGTGAGGTGGCTTTACTTCTGGTTCACTCCGAGGAGTTTTGAGCAGGTGTCTAATCTGGGACTGATCAATTTAATCGATATAGGAGCCAGGAGGAAGCTTAGCTATAACAACTGCAACAAGGGCAGTAACAATAATCATCGTTGCAGAAAGCTCTTTTTAAAAATTATATTGATTTTTATTGTGTGTGTTGTACGTGTCGCAGCTTGTGGAGATACAAGGACAACTTCGGACAGTCGGTCCTCTCCTTCAACCTTTACTAGGGTTCTAGGGGTCAAACTCAGGCTGCCAGTCTCGCATGGTTGGGCAGCAAGCCTCACACATCAGTTTTGTTTGGAGACAGAATCTCTCTGTGTGGTCCTGGATGTCCTGGAATTCACTGGGTAGACCAGGCTGGCCTTGAATCGTCAGAGATCCAGCTGCCTCTGCCTTCTGAGTGCTGGGATTAAAGACGTGCGCCATCATGCCTAGCTCTAAAAGACATCTTTATGTGTTAGATCATTGGTTATATGCTTTACACACAACATAGTAGTACCATATTGATTCTGTTGTGTATATGTGTGTGTGTGTGCACATGTGTGCTCCATGGTACTTGTGTGCAGGGGTTGTTCCTTCCTTCTGCAGTAGGTTTTGGACATGGAACTCAAATTCTGCTGAACCTTCTTGTCAGCCCAAAGTGACACCTATCAAGGCACCTTTTGAGGAAGGATCTGGAATATAGTCAGTTCTAGATAAGGGTTATATATCCCTATACCATAACCTGCTTCTTCCCAATCTCTGTGACCCCATCTTAAAAAGATAAATAATTAAAGGTTGCCTGGGCCTCCTTCTTCACCTATGAGATCTTTGTAGACCCCCTTTTCCTCGTTCCCCTAAGAGCATATCATATGTACAAGTTGAGCATGATGACACATTTGGGATGCTGAGGCAGGAGGATCACAGTTTTCAAGACCAAGTTACATAGTGAGATGTCCCTCAAAAATAGATAGATCAGTTGGTGAAGTACTCAACGTACGGTGTAAGGGACCCAGGCCGACCACAGTCTCACGGAGGAGGGTAGCCATAGAGTGGTACAGAAGTATGATCCCAGCCTAACCGCCGTGGAGATGGGTGGACCCCTGGAGCCTGCTGGCCAGTCAATTCGGCCTGTGAGTCCCAGGCCTCAGTGAGGGACCCTGGCTCACTGAGTGATGGATGGATGGTGCTTGAGGAACAACACTTGTGGTGTGCACATGTACACACACTCACATATACACAAGCCCTCACACACACCTGCACACCCACAACCCACCCCTATACACTTCTACATGTACCCATCCCCCCACACTACAGAACAAAATGAAACAAAACCGTGTGCCGCAAATGACTCCTGCTTGCCCTGTTCACTGTAAGAGAGCCAGGAAAGGGTGCGATGGAGGATAGGACCCTGGTCAAACTCCTGTCCTGGAGGATGTACGTGGGGCCTCTGCACTTTGCTCCTCGGTCTTCTTCATTCGCTCCCATGTTTCTGGGCTGTCCCTCTCCTGATCTCATTATCACGGTGCCCAGTAGTCATCTTCCCAGTCCAGAGAACATGTGGCTAGCAGGGGACATAGCATCTCGGTCAGTCTAGTCTGTCTGCTGGGAAGGACATGTGCCTTCCCGGAGGCTCCATGCAAGCCTTGCAGGAACCCATAAAGGCCAGCAGGAGCTATCTGTGTGTTCTAGATGGGGACATAGTATTTAGAAGGCACTACCTCCTCCTCCAGGACTGTCACCGCCTGCAAGGACCTTGGTATCTGTTGTTGCAAAAATCTAAAGCCTCAGGTTTGGTTGACATTTGAGGAGCAGCTCTGACTTCTTGGGACCAGACAAAGCTGGCTGACTTGCGCCAAAAACTGTAAATAGTTCCCGCACTAGAACCAGCCCCCGAATTCAGTCTGTTTGGTGAGGGTCCTTCACCTTGAATAGAGGCCAGAACAGATCCCATGAGGCTCGGAAGACCATGAAAACACAGACCCTTAAAACCGGTGCCAGAGCCAGACGCCCCCTGGTGGCGGCTGTAGCCGCTCCCTCACAGTGTGGGGCCTCGAATTGGGACTTGCCACTGGTTTTGCATAGCGGGGAAAGTAAACCCAGAGAAAGGTCCAGGCTTGCTAAGAAATAAACTCCGCTTACTTTGTGGAATATCAGCTATCTGTCGAGGCGTTCGCGTTCTTCTTGTTACAATACATGAAAGCTGAGAGGAACAGGCTCTTTGATTCTCACTGTCTGGGGGATGGGCACAGTGATCCTCACTTTCCAGACCACATAGGGACAACACAGAGGGATGCGGCAGGGGCAGGAATTGGGGTCAAGCCTATCTGGCCTCTAACCTCACCGCGCCTGGTTGTCACCTTCTCTCTTCTAATCACTTCCTGCATTTCCAGGACCCACTTTCATGCCTCTTGACCTGAGCAGGGGAGCGGTCTTGACTGGGGAAAGAACACCTAACATGAAGAACGCAGTGGTGTTGACCAGGGGATGCTCTCAGGAGGAATTGAAGGCTGACTGTGAGAATTGGGGGTGAGTCTCGGACAAGGGTTCCCACCTTTGTGAGCTTCCCACCCCTTAGTGAGCAAGCAGGAAGTAAAATCAATGCTTTGAGAGTTCCAGTTCAAGATTGTTGTTAGATCTTGTTCCAAACCTCAGCTGTCCCAACCATGAGCTATGCAGTCTGAGCCTAGGTACCCGAGGTCTCTGGGCAGGGCAGAGTGCGCCTTCCTTCCTTGCTTCCTTCCTTCCTTCCTTCTTTCCTTCCTTCCTTCCTTTCTCCCTCTTTCCCTCCCTCCCTTTCTTCCCTTCTTTCCTTCCTTCATTTCTTCTCCTTTTTTTTTTCTTGTTTGCCAAGTAGGATCTGGCAGGGGTTTAGTGGGATGACAGTGTGATTTTTTTTTTTTTTTTGGACAACTTGAATTTTATAAGTGTTGCCGGTTTTTAGCTCTCCCCTGGGACAGAGCTCTGGGGTGGGCCAGGAAATAGCTACCAGAAATTGCCCCTTCCCCATGAACCCTGTGTTTCCTGACCTGTGGCCCACCAGATCTTGGTTGGCATCCTATGCAGGCACAAAATGGATTTCTCTACTCCATTCCCAGTGGCTTGAGGACCCGAGACTCCACTGTCCCCTCCTTATTCTAGCTGTCCACTGGGAGGGAAGGCCTCACTTCCATTCTTCGTGCTGGGGATGGAGCTTGGAGCTGCAGCCTCAATCTGTGCCCCGAGGAAATGCTCTTGGTGACCGGGGTTGTCCCTGGGGAGGCTGGACGCAGGCCAACAACTAGAACCTTTAGGTTACCATGTCAGGAATCTGTCATTTAGGAATTAAACCTGTCCTGGTGCCCAAAGCTGGATACAGACCCCACAGGAGATCCTCGTTGTGGTCCCGTTTCATTCACCCTGTGCTGTCTGACCCCGAGAATATTGCCCCGGCACCTTCCTCTCTCTGGCTGCAATGCCCGTATTGCAGGTCCCAGGGAGATAGCGCAATGGGGTTGAAGGCTGGCAGTGAGAAAGGCTGACAGGAGGCGGGGACTCTGGGGGTTCCGAGAACTATAAAGGGGAACAGCCATGTGCAGGGAGACCAGTGCAGAAGGAGGTAGGTGTCTGCTCGGTCCAGCACCCCCTTGCTCACACAAGGTAAGTGGGCTCACTCTGCTCTGCCTCTGGGGACCTCTTGGGTTGACGCTGGGATCGGAGGGTAGGAATTGGTGCTTTGTAGGACTGGGGCTCTCAAGAGGCCTAAGGTCCTTTCTGGATCTCTCTCTCTACATCTGTGCAAATGTGTCCATGGAAGGCTGGACCCGCAGTGTCAGAGACTTCGGTTCCTTTACTTTACGAGTGAATTCTGCATCCCTTACTTGTGTTTCCCACCAGCCCTGGTCATTCCTGCATCCTCAGAAGCATCAATGTCATAAGTCCTGTGTATCCAGTTCTCATACCCACTTTCTCTGCTATGCCTTTTATGTTTCCTCGGCCCAGGGCTAACCTTTGGCTGCTGACCTGATCATTGAGGGGGTGTGTTTGTGTAGATGTCCTTGCTTTCCAGGGGAGGAAGGTGGTGGATGCTGGTGGCTCCTTCGTTTGCCTTGTCCCGAGGCTTGGCTTGGAAAATGTGTGGTGGGCAGTGGCTGGCCAGGTAGGTCTGGGACACAGCAGAATCTGCAGATGTATCTGCCTCCACTTTGTTCCTTGTTCCTCAGATGGCCACCGCATACTGCTGCCTCTCCCTGTTTCTCCTATCCACTTGGGTGGTTCTGCTGCTGCAGCCCCTGCAGGGTGCCTGGGGAGCCCCATTGGAGCCAGTGTACCCAGGGGACTATGCTACACCAGAGCAGATGGCCCAATATGCAACTCAGCTCCGCAGATACATCAATACGCAAACCAGGCCTAGGTATGGTGTGTGTGTGTGTGTGTGTGTGCGCGCGTGCGAGAGAGAGAGAGAGAGAGAGAGAGAGAGAGAGAGAGAGAGCCCTGAGAAAACAGTATTTCTACCGAGTGGCTTGGGTCCTTGTGCTGTGGGCAGGACAATGTCTAAAGAGGGGCTACAAGCCACCAAGGTACCACGCTTATCCCAGCTGTCCTTACCAGGTATGGGAAGAGGGAAGAGGCGAACACAGCTGGACTTCCTGGGATGCAGCTTCCCCTGTGCTCCAGTCCCCTGGTTGGCTTGACTCCCTGTTCAGCTCCCTGGAGCTAAGGGTAGGTCTGGAAAGTGGGCATCTGGCGGAGGGGGAAGGAAACCAGGGTCTCAGAGGACAAGGGCTGTCCTTCCTCACTGTTCATTTCTTTCCTTGCAGGGAGCTCAGCACAACAGACCTGTAGGGTCTTGTTTCCTGTCTGTGAGTGCAGGACAGCACTGGTCCAGCTAGTCCCTCTGCATTCCCATAACAACTTGCTACCTTTCAAACTAAATAAAGCAAATTAAAATCACATCCTCTCTGTGTGGTGTGTCTGTGGTGTGTGTGTGTGTGTGTGTGTGTGTGTGTGTGTGTGTGGTGTACACCCACAGTGGCAGGAGAAGGTAAAACCTACAGGCAGGGAGGCTGAGGGGGAAAGGGGAGCTAGGATGATCATGAGTGTCTGTAGGGGCTCAGCTCATCATTTTCACAGAGGGGCTAGTTGTGGTCCGGAGAGACGTGAGACTCCCTTGCGGGTCTGTGACATGGCAGTCTTGAGCTTAATCCTCCTATCCCCGCACCTCTAAACCATCCAGCTCTTCAGCCCAAGGCCAACCCTGTCCCCACATATACCCTCAAGCCTGCTTCCTATAACTTGGGCACTGGGGGAAGAATCATTTCTATTAAAATGTCCTTGGCACAGGGAAGGGGCAGCCCCTGAGGACTAGTGCAGGCTGGAAGCCATTCGGTTGCCTGCTTTGAACTGTTCTTTAGGAATCTGGAGGAAAGGGGCTGTCCCGAGAGGTCGTGTGCTGATAGCCTCAGAATGAACTCTGGCTACTACTGGGATAAAAGCTGTAGGGGGTTGTGTCTCCAGGATGGAGACACAGTCAAGCATGCTGACTGCCTCCATGGGTCCAACTTGTGGCATCCACATTTTGGTTCTTGGGGCAAGGAGGGAAGACCCAGATACTACCTGAAGACTGTCTACCTGTAGACTATTTACCTGTACTAAGCATCCTAAAAAGGTGGAGATGGTGTGGTGGTGGTGGTGGTGTTTATGTGTTTATGCAAAGTGTGTGTGTGTGTGTGTGTGTGTGTGAGAGAGAGAGAGAGAGAGAGAGAGAGAGAGAGAGAGAGAGCTTGACTCCTCTTCCTGGGAGCTTTTGTGGATAGGGATATCATGGGGAAGGGAAGACATGAGACATTCCCAAAATGGCTTCTTCCCTCTCTTCCACAGGCTGAGTCTGAAGGGTTGGGGTGATAGGCTTGGGGAATGAAAGTTCTCTTTCCCAGTCTCAGTGTTTGGCATTAATCCCATAGCACCGACATTGTAACTGTGTTTCTATATGTTCAGTGTTGAGTAACCTGGAGGCAGAACCCACCCTAAAGGGCCAAAGGCTTGTACAGGATGCAGCTATGCTGCAAATGCCTGGCTCAAGTTGATTCTTAAATCCAAGGAGTGTCTAGCTAGGGGATAGGGAGGCTTCTGCAGGGGAACAGGGTTTAAATGCGGCTGCTGGAGCCTGAAGTTCCAATACCTTCTTTGGCAGCTTAGGTGATGACTTCTAGTTCTATTCTATGTGTGGGTGCTTTGCCTGCAGGAGTGTCTGCTCATCACATGTGTGCCTGGAGCCTTTGGAGGCCAGAGGAGGGTTTCAGATATCCCGGAACTAGAGTTTCAGATGGTTGTGAGACACCACACATGTGCTTGGACTCTCTGGAGTCTCTGGAAGAGAAGCCAGTGCTCTTAAACCCCGAGCCATCTCTCCAGCCTGACATGGGTTCTACCAGGAAAGATAAACAGTCATAGAGGTGGGAATTCAGAACCTGTTCCACACACACCTGGGTTTGATAGATGAATGGTTTGGGAAGTGCTGTGTGCCCGTGACCAGAACCCTCTGGTATTCCGGCTGCAGCAACAGGCTCTACCAGGTTCAGGAGGGGCGAGGTCCCCTAAACTCTACACCCCTCTGTGCTTTGGTACTACCCTCACAGGCCAGACTGCCCTCCCAACATGTCCTGCTGTGGGGTGACCCTTGGCAGGGAGCAGGTCTGGCTGAAGGCCCTGTTTTGAAGTTGCTAGGACCAATTCTTTTTATCTTCTCTCTCTCAGAGTCACAGCTTGGAATGATGGGAGAGGAGGCTGCGGTGAGGTGGTGAAGGGTGAGTGGGTGGGTTGGAGAGCGAGGCAGACAAACCTAGACTGAGGCCTGTTTATCTCACGGGAGGCATTACGGGGTCCCCTTCCCCACGGAAGGACAGGCCCTTCCTGCCAGTGTCCACAGAAACCACAAAAGCAATAGTCATTTTAGGAATTTATTTATTTATTTATTTATCCATTCCTTTGTTGTAACTGTGGTTTGTATGATGTGTGTGTCCACACAAGCCATGGTACATGTATCCTTTCTTCCATCCTATGGGATCGGGAATGGAACTCTGGCCGACAGGCTTAGTGGCAAGTGCCTTTACCCCTGAGACATCTTGTTAGTCCCACTATGTTTCTTTATTGTCCGTGCTGCGTGGGCAGGGAGGAACAGAGGTCCATCTCACCGTCTAAAGGGGTCCGTGGGTAGCCAGATCCCGGCCAGGCTTCTGGAGGTCAAGGTCCAGGCTGGAGAGGAACACCTCCTGGCCCTGGCGTACCCCTTTCACGTCCCCATCCCCAGGAGAGAGTTTCCCTCTCTCTCCTACCCGCCTGCCCAAGGATATGGGTGGAGGCCTCTGCTGGTTGCGCCACCTGTCTACCTGGAGTCAAGGGAGGGAGGCTCAGAGCTGGAGCCCCAGTGGTTCTTCCAGTACTCGGGGTTGGCTGGTGTTTTACGGTGGTGTAGTTCGTGATGTTCAAGTGAGGATGGACTGTGACGCTCGATGGGGCAGAGTTGGTAGAGTTGGAGGGTTTCTTGTGTTTTTGGGGTTTCTTCGATCTAGGAAATACGCCATTGCAGAGATCACGGGGGCCGAGGTGTGAGTGGGGTGCTAGGTCCTCCTTCCCCCATTCCTCCGCCAGCTCACCTGTTTTTGAAGAGCTTCTCCATGTACTTGTTGATATTTGTGAACCATCTGGCCACTCTGGGCTCGGGAGACTGCTGCAGTTGGACTTCCTTGCCCAGGGCGCCATCGGGTGGCACCAGGAGTGCAGCTAGGCATCCCAGAGCCAGTGCGCACGCGCAGGGTAGAGACACGGTCTGTAGGGGGGCGGGGCAGATAGCATGGTCAGGTGACCCTGGGAAGGAAGGTGAGGTGGGGTGGGGTGGCGGTGGGACCTGGTTGTGTCCTCACTGAATCTCGGGGCCACACTCTGTTTGTTGGGAAAGCCGGGAGTGTGGCGAAGCTCGGACCAGGAGATGTAGCTGCCCGTGGTATACACAGAGCTTCTAGGGAATCCTGGTTCCCAGGGAGAATAGGACACGCCTGGATGTGCACTCAGTAACCCCAAAGTACTGAGGCAAAAATGGAGCCCGGTCTGACAAGGATACATGATCTAGAGTTGCCGGTCAGGTCCCTGACCTTACAGACTTCTGCGGCAAATTCCTCCTTGAGCTCTCCACTCCAGCCTTTCCCGCCTCCTTAGGTGGTCCTCAGAAACCCTAGACATGCTGCTGTCTGCCTGGAAGCCTGGTCCTCCAGATGCCTGCAGGGCCAGCTCAGCTTCAAGCATCAGCTCGACACTCCAATAGCTCTAGCCCTGACACCCTATATAAAATTTCCACCCACTCTTACCTGTGCTGCGGCTGCCATGGCCACTCCTTGCTGCGTTCTGTGGTAATTTGTAGCTATCGGCTGAACCTCTTCCCAGCCCCACCTCCTCCCATTACCCTGCAGGTGGGCTCTTTACCCACTTTCTCTGATGTAGTACTGAGATTTGGGCCTGGCATTTAACACATTAAATGAGTAACATAGTTGCACACTGGAGTGCCAGCCCAGTAATTCCCTCCATCCCCAGTCTCACACACACACACACACACACACACACACACACACACACACACACACACAGAGTTCCGGGGCCACCGGACATTACCATAGTCCTAGGCAGGCGCAAAGCGACACAGCAAAGGGTCTCTGGCCAGGACTTCAGGGGCCTTTTATATGTCTCAAATGTCCTGCCCCACATGACTTTCTCCTATTCCTGGGTCGTGACCCAGGGATTGGGAACAGAGAGAGTGTGGGGGTGGAAGGACACGGCCTACTGACTGTCCTGAGTAAGGCACAGTGTCTTCTAAGAGCTCAGAAGGGTGGGCGGCAAAGGTGGGAGTCTCCTGGGGCCAGGTACCTTTTTGTTCTAAGACCATAGATCCTGGGGAAGAGCTGTGTCTGTGCTTGTGAGTGGGAAGTGCCTTTCCCAGGGGCTATTTCTGAGGTTAGAAGAGGCCAATGCTGAGAGGCCCTACTCGGCCAGCTGATCCAAGGGGAGTCTTCCTGAAGGTTGCTATGGAGGCCTAGCACGTCTGGTTTTGTGGGATTGCATCCCTTACTCTGCCTGTCCCAGCCATGTGGAGCCCCTGGGCGTGACTAATGAGTCCTATGGGGAAAGGAATCTTGGCTACTTAAGTAACACACTCACTGCGATTCAGGCCAAAGAACCTTGCTGTGAGCCTGTGTCTTCCACCTTGCTATTTGTCCAGACCAAATTCCCTGCGACCACCCTGCTTCTAGGAAGGGACAGTAGGAATCCTGAGCTCCCTCGTTCTTGGCTGTGTTGAACCTGATCAAGGGACTGTACTTCCTGGTGAGCCTCGTATATGGAACCCGGCTCATTATGTTTCCGGCATGAGACTGATGCCAAGATTGGTCTGATCATGCGCCTCTGCCACTGGATAGTTCTTGGCACAGACTGGGCGATGGGCACGATGAGCCCCTCTATGTGGGTACACCTCTCCTCTAGTCTCCACTGATCTCCTGTTCACCCTTTCCTTAGTAAATTCCGCTCTCAGCGGAGGGGTGGGAACTCAGGGCCAGTACAATCAGAGAATCCACAACACCTTAGGAGCTCAGTGAGGCCACAGTGCCATCAGAACCACATTCCTGGGTAGCAAAGAGCTGGAAAAATAAATGAGATTTCCAGAATATTTCATAGTTCAGGGTAAAGGAGTTGTTTAGGGGGGCAGATACTCCACATGTTAGCAAGCTATGAATTTGTGTGTGTGTGTGTGTGTGTGTGTGTGTGTTTTGAAACAGGATCAGGAGGCTACTATGTAGCCAAAGAGAAGGTTGAACTGATCTCCCTGCCTCTGCCTCCTAAGTGCTGGGTGGGATTAAGACACATATCACCATACTGCATTTGAAACAAGCTATCACATGTTC